CATACAATATATATGTATATGAAAGTGTAAAGAAAGACTATATAGGCAGCTGACTCCAAGAAGTAGGCCTACTTCTTGAAACTTCCAGACTCAGACTGCAATGCCATCATTTTGTTTGGATGACAAGGAGTTGGCATCATTTTATTTACCATTTCTCTCTCATTCTTATCTCACTACGCGTGCGCGTGCGCGCGCACACGCGCGCGCGCACACGCGCGCGCACACGCGCGCGCACACACACACACACATACACTTGAGGTCTGAGATTGATGTCAGGAATCAATCACCATTTCTTTCCATCTTACTCAATGGGGCAGTCTCTCACAATCAAACTCCAAGCTCACCCATAAAGCTGGTTTTGATAACCAGCTAGCTCTGGGATCTCCTGTTTCTGCCTTCCAAAATTGGTAGTTACAGGCAGAACACTGTGCTGACTCAGCGTTTTTATGATTTCCAAGGATCTAAACTTGGTCCTTATACTTGTACAACAAGTGTTTTGATTGCTGAATCATATTTCCAGTCCCATGGCTTTTGCCTGGTATTTACAATGGATGGATAGCAGAGTCAAAGAAAACACACCAACTATGGGTCAACTAAGATGTCTAGGTTCCATCAAAAAGCACCACATTTGGATCTACATTATCACACAAGCTGGAAGCTGAGTTCAGTGGCTAAGAGCTGGTTAAAACACCTATGTATATTCACAGGGAAGAACAAAAGAAGTAATGTAAAAAGCTGTTCAGGTGCTCTGCAAGCCTTTAAAAAAAATCCACATCCCCAGCTCCTACCCCTGGGCTGATGACCACATCTTAGGAAGAACACACTTGCTCCCTGCTTGTAGGCACTCACAGTGGGAGAGAGAATCCTGAGAAATAGCCGAACAGGATCTTAAAGACTTGGGCTGCATTCTTTCTGATAGAAGCAGAAAATTCCTAACCACTTGACTTTTCCAAATTGCCCTCTGCCTCCCTGAAATGTGCGTTCTGTGCTGGCTTTACAAGGAATGCTGGCAATGGCAGAGTAGAAAGGCTGACACTTTCCTTTTGGGTGGGGGTTGGGTATCACAGCTGTGGCCTCTGCAAAGCTGGCCAACAGGGAGTCATGCAGCCATAGGGAAAGGGAGCCAGCCAGTCTTCTTCTCCTGGGACTGAGACTTTGGTGTAGGGCAGGGTCTGATAAAAGTGCAGCATTATCTGCAGGCATTTGGTAATAAGAATTAGAAAGCAAGCACAATTTCTTTCTTCTTTCTTTGTAACACAATCCCTTCCAGGGAAGGCAAAGCAAACGCCTGTATTGTTCTCCTTGCATGTCCTTGTTCTAGAGCTCCAAGGCGCACAAAGGTATCAACAAAGCACTTTCTAAAAGCTCTGGTTTCCAAATGTCAAATGCTTCAAATCCAAACACTTCTGCAGACATCCACTCCCCAAAAGTGTGTGCTTTGTTTGAACCTATTAGATATTTGTAGCTTGCCAAAACAACTCAGTATATGTTGATGGCCTTCAAATGTCCTGAGCTAGCCAACTGTCACCCCTCACCAGAAACCCTCCCCCCCCAAAAAAAAAAAAAAAAAAGAAAAAGAAAAAAAAAGAAAAGAAAAAAAAAGTGGGCAAATTCGTATTACTTAACTTCAATAGCTAAAGCATTTTTGAAGACAGAAGCATTTATCTTAAGTAACAAAAAGGACCCTTTTAAAAATCAACCACACTCTTTACTCAACCCTAAAGAAATAAATATTTGGACTGATTTCTTTAAAAACAAAACAATGTTGGCTTCACCATTAGGAAGAAAACTCGTATCTATTTCATCTTCTCCTTGCAGCTGGCAGATCCTGTTCAGGAACAAACCCCCCCCCCCCAAAAAAAAAAAAAAAAAGAAAAAGAAAAAAAAAGAAAAGAAAAAAAAAGTGGGCAAATTCGTATTACTTAACTTCAATAGCTAAAGCATTTTTGAAGACAGAAGCATTTATCTTAAGTAACAAAAAGGACCCTTTTAAAAATCAACCACACTCTTTACTCAACCCTAAAGAAATAAATATTTGGACTGATTTCTTTAAAAACAAAACAATGTTGGCTTCACCATTAGGAAGAAAACTCGTATCTATTTCATCTTCTCCTTGCAGCTGGCAGATCCTGTTCAGGAACCAAATTGCTAGTCCTTCCTTTTCTAGCATAGTGTGAATTAAAAAGAAAAAAAAAATCCTCAAAGAAAAATAGATGGTAACAACAGAAAAATCCAGGTTAGCTGGCACCATGCCACCCTGCTTTGCCAGGAGATAAAGGGCTGCATTGCTGACTCTCCTACAGCAACTGCTCCTTGTAACCGGAGAAAGGTTAATACTGGATGCTTTGGGACACTACCCAGCACCTCTGCTGGCTTATTTAGGGACAGTATGGGACTCAAGGGCAGGTTTTTGTTGGATGAGTTCTCAGACACATCTTTGGGCATCCTTTCTTGATGGAAGACCTGGCTTTAGCCAGCTATTGCCAGCTCTTGACCTTAAGGGTCAACTGGGACTAGTACAACCATAGTGGACCAAGAAACCAAGAGCAAATGAACAGGGAACAAAGCTCTGACAAAGTATGGGATCAGTTCCAAAGTCATGCAAGAAGCTCCCTGGTTTATGAGACCTCAGGAGGTAAGACAGACAAAACAGCCCAGGCTTTGCTTGCTAGTTAGAAGTCAGTTCAGTGTAGGAAGGTTCACACAGCCTCACCTCAAAACGCCCTGACTATTGCTTCTCCAAAATACGCTGTCTGCTTGGGCTTATTGAAGTGGTCATCTCTGTTATAGCCAGAACCACATCTAAGCAGAGAGCCATCTGACCCTTTCTCCTACTCCGTAGTCTCTACCCTCTGCTTTAGGAAAACTTTGGACTATCCCCCAAGATCAAAACCTCATCACCTGTGTTCTTAGTTAAGTACCGGTATTAGCACATCATTCTAGAACTTTCCCCTCTCCTCTGTCTCACTGCTGTCCACAACTCCAAGAGTGGCTGGGTAGGGAAGGGCTTCACAAGAGCCCTTCATTTCAAACAGTCCTGGTTAGTGGCTCCATCCTACTTCCTTATGTTCTATTGATTGTCTTACTATGTTTTCCCAGTTCAAGCTGAAGTCTTAATTTCTTAAAATTATATTTACTTATTTATTTTGGAGGGCCATGCATGTGGAAGTCAGAGGACAATGTGTGGGAGTTGGTTTACTCCTCTCATGATGTGCACCCTGGAGATTGAACTCAGGTACTAGGCGTGACTACAAGTGGCTTTCCCACTGAACTATGTTAAGGACTCTAGGTTGAACTTTTGACAAGGAACACATGCTTTCCAAACAGTCTCCCCTTCATTCTGTCAATCCCCAGGATGTGATTTAAGGGCCTCACCACACTGGTGGCTACTTTTCCTCAGCCAGTGTGCCAATTCCAGTCTCATTTCACCAGTTTCTCCCCATGATTAACTGATTGGCCTGAATCCTACCTCCCAAGGAGGTCAACTCAGACCCAAACCAAAAGAAAACAGTGCAGCAATGGGTCAGAAACACATGGTTGTGGGGTCCTCACATGGTAGGGACCCAATGCCTCTATACTCTAGTGCCCTGTGTGTGCCATGTTAGGGCAGTACCCATCTCACAATGCTTTTGTGTCACTGATCCAACTCTCACATGTAAGGAGCCTGCTCAGAAATAGCATGGCTTTCCCTGGAAGTCCCAGGTGAACCATGCCATAGATGCGGGCACTACTGAGAAATGAGTAACAGGCTCAAGAGGATGCCAGCTCATCTACAGGCTTAACCCTCTGATGAGGTCACAGTGATGTACCTTTGGTGGCATTCCCCCACTTGTCCTTGCTGCCTGTTGCTTTCTGGTCATGATGGGGTAAGTTGTTTCGTTCATCATATCCTGCCACCCAGAACCAGAGCCCTGAATCCAGCCAATTGCAGGTGAAACCTTAGAAACTGAGTAGAAACACAACTTTGCATCGTCACATTGATCTGCTTAGATATTCTGACAGTGAGAAAAAGTGAGGTCCAGAGAGCTCAGTGAGCGATGCATTAGCCCCCTTTCTTTGTGGACATGCACCTGGTTTCTCAGCTGAGGTAGTCTGAGTATGATCCTGAGAACAGACAGGGTGGCTTTGTTACCAGCTGTGTGATCCTGGAAGCCACTGACCCTTCACTGTCTCTTTATCTCCACCATAAAATGAGGGTATGAATAATACCTGCCTTCTAAGATGATGAAAGGGAAACATATGGGAAGAACACATGCACTTGTGTTGTAAGCTATCACCGTGGAGCAGCTATTATTTCCTCAAGATCAAATCCCAAACAATGTCTCACCTCATGTCTGCAACTCTCAGCTTGTTAATCTGAAGTTGAAAATACTCTTTCATGTTTAAAGCTTATTGTTTATCCACCTTTACAGAACTTATTCTTTGACGATTTCATGCATGTACATTGCAGATTCTGAATATTGTAGCCCCCCCCAACAATGTCACTTACTCTAATATCATAATTATTCTTTCTCCCTACAGGTTCCTTTTCCATGTTCATGTCTGTTCACTTATTCATTCTAGAGGCACTAAGTTTAACCAGGACTATCTGTGTGCCCATGGGTTTGGAACTATCCATTGAGTGGGGTCCTTGGTGGTACACAGCTAAACACAATGATTGCCCCTTCTCTAGATTCCATCAGCAGCCAATAGGGAAGGGTGGGGCCCTGTAAGCCTCTCCTGGATCCATGACTGACTACTGATAGCCCCAGTCTGTGCAGGCACACTGTCAGAAGCCATGCTGCCATGGGGTACTGATTGCACTGGCTGTGCCATGCACAGAAGACAACACTGAGAAATCGTATTTTATATTCTGCTATTCTTGGGTTTAAAACTATATGAAGAAATCAATAAAAAGCAGAGGATTAAACAAAACCCCAAACTAGTCATATCTAGCAATAGTAAATATTTAGCACAAATGTAGTCAAGATGGAGAGCACAAATGGGGGAAGACTGCTTACCTGGTGGTAGGAGATGGGAACGGGTCTCCTGAAGACAATCCACTCCACGATTTCACTACATGGAGGGGTGGTCAAGGAGCCTGTGTACCGGTAGTAGCTACCCAGGGATGCAGGCAGGAGGTCTCGGAGGACAAAGGGATCCAGAAAGGTCTCCTTCTCTGTTTGAGGAGAGAGGTGAGAAGATGACAACAGTATGAACACAACACGCCACAGATACGCAACTCAAACCCTAGGCCCACTCACACCCTACCTGTCCTGTTTTTCAGAAGCACTGCCACCTAGTGGCAGGAGGACCTCAGAAGATGAGGCAGCCCGTCAGTCAGTACAGGCTGCATATCTTACAGACAAGGTTCCATAAGGCAAGGCAAGGAGAGGTGCAGCACCGTGGTCCCTCTCTACTCCCCAGGAATAAGAGCTCTCCAACATAGTAAAGACTCTGACAAGTCCTGCAGAAAAGTCCTGCCCAGGCTTGCTTTATTTACCACAGAAGCCTTCTCTACCTAGCACCTATAAACTAATAACCAGGAGAGAAAACTTGGAACAAAATGAGACAACTACTACAACAAACAAGACAAAACAAATAAACAAAACCACCAATGAGCTAATGTGATAATCATTTCCCAAATGGGCCACACTCTCCACGATGAATTCAGCAAAGGCATGCTGGTTAGTTTCCAGTCAACTTGATTGGATTAAGAAACACCCAGGGCATTATTGAAGCACACCTCTAGGTGTATCTCTGAGGATGTTTCTACAGAAGACTGACTGGGGCAGAGGGAAGCCCACCCACCCTAAATGTGGGTGGCCCCATTACATGGGCTAGAGTCCAGAACTGAATAAAAAGGGAAAAAATGAAAGAAGAAAACTAGCTGAATTACAGCATCTCTCTTAACAATTTTCTAGTCAGCCCAGACATGAGCAAACAATCTTAAGGACCTGTTGCCACAGCTGCTAGCAGCTCCCACTGCAATACCTTCCCTGATGTATTGGATTATAACTTCCAATTGTGAGCCACAGGAAACTCCCCTGCCCCTGCCAGCCAGATATCTGGTCATAAAACTGAGAAAAGCAGCCAGGTGTGGTAACACACACCCTTAATCCCAGGGCCCAGGAGGCAGAGGCCATTTAGACACACCTATATGCCTGTAGCCACATTCTTTCCATGGTTTGACAGCATTCATGATGAATAGCCAGCACAGGCACAGTGTAACTTCCACATCTCAGAAGTGTAGGCACCTGGCAGACTGTACTAAAACATACTAAAATCACAGAAACTGTAGTATCTTCTAGAATTTGTTTGTTTTTTTTTCGAGACAGGGCTTCTCTGTGTAGCTTTGGAGCCTATCCTGGCAATCACTCTGGAGACCAGGCTGGCCTTGAACTCACAGAGATCCACCTGCCTCTGTTTCCGGAGTGCTGGGATTAAAGGCGTGTGCCACCAATCTTCTAGTTTTTTAAACAAGACATTTTGGGTTGTACTCTGTATTAGGCAATATCCTATTCATAGGCCCAAACACTTTCACAGTATTTTATACAAGTAGAAGGTTTTGTTCTAAGAGCTTTGTAAACTTTAAGTTATTTGATACTTAGCTCCATCAAGTCAGTCCCATTAGGGAATTAATTCGCAGAGTCTGGAATGTCAAACCAGGGAGCTAAGAAACAGGCCATCATAGCAGTACACAGGTCTACAATGTGTGTGTGTGTGTGTGTGTGTGTGTGTGTGTGTGTGTGATGCATGATCTTGTGGATGCATGTGAATATTTGCATGTAGAGGCTGAAAGTCAGCCTGTTCTCCTGCAGTGTTCACCTTGTGTTTGTGACAGGGTCTCTTCCTTGCCTGGAACTCACCAATCGGGCTAGGCTGGCTAGCCAGTGAACCCCAGAGTAGAGGCCTATCTGTGTGATCCCCACACTTGAAATGCAAGCTTGCTCCACTGTCCCAGCTGTTTTTTTTTGTTTGTTTGTTTTTTTGTTTGTTTTTTAACATGGCTTCTGGAGATCATATTTAAGCAAGCACTTCCCTGACTGAACTATCTCCACAACCCACAAGTATGTACTTTACGATGCATGACCCATGTGAAAATCAAGGCATAGAGAAGCTAAATATGCACTCCCAGGTCATAAGAGGGCAGAATATAGTGGTCACACATGGAGGTTCAGCAACAGAAGCTCATTCTCCTAGAAGTTTTATTTTTTTTTAAAGGAAAGATTACCTAATAAATGCAAAAGTCTTTAAATCATAGGTTTTACAATCAAAATCATGCAAAAAAAAAAATATGGTCCCAGTTGAAAAAAAGGTGAAAACTAGAGGGCTTTACTCTCCACCCGCTGGCAAGTCTGGTCTTTAATTTTACCTGGTTAGCAGGGAGCCAAATCACAGGACCACCTATCAAAGTGTGCTTGGCTGGGACTGGTTTGGCTGGGAAAAGGACTATTTTGGCTTGTGTCTCCCGCTTGCCTCCATGTTTCCTGGTCCATGAAACAGCCAACACAAAGCCTGGAGCCCCCAGAGGGTGTGTACAGGGCTTGGCATCATGAGCAACAAAACTGCCACTTTCCTGTATCCCTCCAGCAGTAGGGCATCACACCAGCCTGTGCTGGGATCAGGAGCTCCAAACTGCAAGAACAGACAAACCTGCGGTTTTCCTCTAGGGGCCTAATCCAGGTCAGGTTTTCAGGTGAACAGGTTGTGTGTGCACGATCAGAAGGAAACAAAATAATCCCTGCCAGCTGATACTGCCCCAGACTCTGGGAAGAGGTGATGGCTCTTACAAGCAAGAAAAGATGAAGAAGCAACCTGTCCTGCCAAAGGAGTGGGGTAATGCAATATCAAAAGAGAACACTGGTGCAGCAGGAGCAAGACTCATGTGTCTGGGAGTTCTGCATGGTCTTGTGACAACTGCAAGTGTGGGCCCTGTTGTATATTCAGAAGAGAGCCTTGGCCTTGAATGTTTACGAGGTGTGGTCAATTCTGTGATGGAGCTGAATTCCATTTCTCCATTCGGTCACACACTCCACCCACCTGGGAGACTTGTGATTGCCCTAGGTAGAGGCTTGGGGAGAGATACTACCATTTTTTCAAGAAAAACCCTATTCTAATATGTTCACAGCTGAGTTGAAGGCCAAGTGTCACTGCTCTCAGAACTGCTGATTTAGTTCAGTTTGTTAATATTACAACGGGGCATGGGGTGAAGTGGGGGATAAAGGCCATGGGAAAAAAACAGACCTGGGTTAAAAGCTTGAGAAGAGCAGAGACTCAAGTATAATTCCTCACTAGAATTTGGAAAAGCAATGCCTTCAGGACCTACACCTCACCTAGAGCTTTTTCTTTTTCAACTTGACTACTAGTGCCTTCAGGGCAGATGTTTGTTTGTGTCAAGCCTCTAACCTGAGCTATGGAATGCAATCATATCTAAAAGCTGTGCAACTTTAGGTAAAAGCTTTAGCCTCTCTGAGCTATTTCTATAATCCATAAAACAGTGACCAGGAGATTTTATACCCTTCGGGGTTGCTATGACAATTAAGAAGTTACTTGGTGTAAGGGGCTTAACATAGTGCCTGGTCCACTGTAAGCCTTCATTTATCAAGGCAGCCCTTGGCTGAGGGCAAGCACAGAAGAGTCCCAGGCTGGCATTTGCCATGTGTCTAAGCAAGGATAGCAAGTGTTCTCTGTAAAGCACCAGATAGTAAATATTTTAGGTTTTGCAGGCCAAGAGGTAAAAATCAAAGATATCATGTTAGGACTTATGTAATACAATCATTTCTACAATCTTATTAAGGACATTCTAAATTCTAATAATAATTGCATACACCTTCAAAATATGTCTGCATTAATAAGAAGACTGTAACTCATATTGGAGGAATAACATTTTGCCTAATTAGAGATGCACTGTAAAAGCTCACGGGCTGTGCCAAAATTGGCAGTAGAAAGGATTGGGCTTTCTGTCCAATATTTGCCTATCTCTACCTTTAAGTTCTGGAAGGGGTCCCACATAATGTGACACAAATGTCACTCTGATAAGCCATAGACAGACTTGCAAGAGGGTCAGGGAAGACACGCTATGTGTTCAGGTGCCATTATCACTTATTTTTTTAAATAACTAATTTAACTTTATTTTATGTGCATTGGTGTGAAGCTGTCAGGTTCCCTGGAATTGGAGTTACAGACAGTTGTGAGTTGCCATGTGGGTGCTGGGAACTGAACCTGGGTCCTCTAGAAGAGCAGATGGTTGCTCTTAATCACTGAGCCATCTTTCCAGGCCCTCATCACTTATTTTGTTAACAGTACATAACAGAATTAATTTTTTGGTTTTTGAGACAGTGTTTTGCTGTGTAATGCAGGATAGTCTTGAACTTGAGAATGGATCTAACATGGCAGAACTGCCAGTACTGTCCACAGTCTGATTCAGCCACAGGTACGGGACCAACAGAACCCAAACGTGAGATTCTTAGTGACAGGAAGGGGAAGACGAATGAACACATTTCCAGCTGAGAACTTAGCTCTTCATGAAGAAGATCTTAATAATGCAGATATTAGGGAGTAGAGAGCCTTGCTTCAGCCAAGCCACCGAGACTAGCTTCTCCCAACAAGCTACTATGCTTCTCTCTAACTGATGTATCTCTGAGACAAGATAATAAGAGTGCCCTGATATCGGAGTCTGAGCAGTAACTAGTTAATATTAATTAAGAGGTTAGAACAGCACTTGGCACTGAGAGTGCCCACAAATGCTGTTCAATGAAACTTGTCTGTCTTGTGATCTTATAGGGGCTGTGTGGCTCCACACCCAATCAGCACTGCAATACACCCCCACCTCTAGACTAATTAGTAACTTGACTCCAAAGAATTTTTATTGCAGTCACTTACTAGTTGAGAACATAAGAAACACTATACTTCTCCCACCATTCATTCCATTATACCATAATAAGCAGGTACTGTGCACTACTAGATAAAAGAACTGAAAAGGAATAAGCCTCCTTTTCCACTTTCAAGGATCCCGGGTGCTGTAGGCAGACAATATTATATTTTAATAATTAATTGTTCATCAAAGAAAAAAATGAGGAACAGGGATGCTAAATTCAAAGTTATTCAAATTGCAGAAATGAATAATGCATGACTTTTATATTAAATACACACTGTATTAAGTAGTCTACATTTCAC